GCGCGCGCGTGCGTGCGTGTGTGTAATAAGAAAATACTTTTGTTAAAATACTCGTCTCACTTATGCATTTTTTACATACTAACAATTTCCATTGATGGAAAGAATACACACACACACACACACACACACACACGCGCGCGCATACACTGAAGTTAATTAAATTTGATAGTACATGTATGTATTATTTAACGACGTAGATATTATTACAGTTAAAACAGTATTAAGCATCACTCCGGACTTTAATTATAAATAAATAATTACACTATATTGTATCTTATTTTTAAAATAATTCAATAGAGTGCACAGACTAAGTTCTTTGGTCCATCTCGCGATCATTAATCATCACGTAACTAGGATTACTGAAGCTATCTGGCATACCTCTTTTCAAATCATTCTTCTGTATTGGCATATTGACATAATTGTCCTGTGTACTGATGATAGGTGGTGCGTAATCCTTCTTTCTCGAATCTACTTGTTTGGTCATGTCATTCTTATCTATATCATTCAGATCTATTAGATGAAGATTCCGCGGTGTATTGCAGTAACCAGAATCTCGATCGATTGATTTATCTTTCGTCTGATTTTTCATCGCTTGTCTCTGTCTTGCAAACTCTGCTCGTCGTTCATGAACATTGATTGGTTTCAAATAGGGATCTTCCTCGTGTTTCAGCATGGGAGATTGTTCGATTGCATCTTCGGAATCTGATGCGGGCGACGGGAACTCAAAATGCGAATGATTTTGATTAGATCTAGGACTAAATATTCCGGATTCGTCTGTCGGACTCATGCTGGGATTCATGCATAAATACGATGAATCCGTTATGTCTTTCGAAATAAATGTGTTTACATAATCATGATTCGGTGACGATAGAGCCGCATGATCCGGCGCGGACATCATTGTTAAGTAATCGTTTTTGCCACTTTCCAGATTCATCGTGTTCATGTCCATGTATGGTGTATTTAGGATGATATAATGCTGGAATAAAAAATATTTTTATTATATGATATATTTTCTTTGAAGTAATTTTTTTAAAGATTCGTTTTATTACACTCAATTTTTTGTTTGTATAACGTTACTACAGAATAAGAAGAGAAAAAAACTCACCATTTTTACGTTTTCCTCCAATAAATTTCCAATATTCTCCACAAGATCTGTAAAACTTGGACGTAGCGTGGGTTTGGCCTTCCAGCATTGTAACATTATGTCATATATTTCATGAATAGCATAATCTGGTTGCTCCATTCTGTAGCCTTCAATCAATTTTTGATATTGTTTTTCGGCCTCCATGCCAGGATATGGTGTCTCAGCCAGAGTGAAAAATTCCCAAAGCACTATACCGAAGCTCCATATATCAGATTGTGTTGAGAAAATTCGATCTCTAATCGATTCAATGGCCATCCATTTTATAGGCAACGGACCGTCACCTTTTTTCTTGTAATTACCATCTTTATACATAGTTTTTGCGAGTCCAAAATCACAAATCTTTACTATATTGTGTTCCGCGAGTAGAATATTTCTTGCTGCTAGATCACCATGCAGCACCTAAAGATATACGTACATATTATCATGAAAAACATATTTGTAATATAGAAAATATTGTTTTGAGAAATTAAAGATATAATATTTAAGTATATAGTCTAAGCACATAAATTTTATTTAACGGATACAATTTTGGAGATTCAATTTTTTATATTACTTGTCACCAAACAAAATGCTAGCAAATTGGCAACAAATTCGATCAGATATTGACTGCAAATCCATAACCATCTGTGTCCGCATTAGGCTCATTAGGGATTTATCGACAAAGATGCTGACATGCTATACGAACAGATTGGCAGCAAAAATCGAGTAGAGCCTGTCATTATGCATATTTAAACACAATAATTGAAAAACTATCGCTAAATGGCATCCGTTTCATGCAAAATTTATCAAATTATATAAGCGAAATTCATAATCAAAATTTAAACATGCATTTATTATTTATGTATTTTTATGTATATATTTGATGAAAGACGTAATCGTCCAATAAGAAAGTTAAGAGCTCTGCTCGAGCCACCAATTTATTCGCCTAGTAGTCTCAACAGACTTTGTCATATTTTTTAAGACAGTTTGCTCACATCGTCAGATATTATAGACTCTGTGTGCAATTTGTTGCCTTTTTGCCATCAAACGTTGATAACAGGCTCGGTTTTTGCTAGCAATCTACTAGCATAGCATGTCGGCAAGCTTTGTCATATTTTTTGAGGGCAGTTTGCTCACATCATCAGATATTACAGATTCTGTGTGCAATTTGTTGCTTTTTTGCCATCAAATATTGGTAGCAAGCTCTACTCAAAATCTATTTCTGCAGGTTTTACTATTGACATTGTGATATGTAATTCTAATTTATTCCATAAATATTTTGTTTATTAATTAGTAATTTTAAAATTAAAATATCAATGTTTAAAACTTGTTATGATTCATTTTGCGAGTTTGCAATTACTTATGTCAAAATACAACTTACCCTTCTTTGACTAAGATATTCCATTCCACGTGCTACTTGAAATGCCCAAGACAATAGATCCTGAGTGCAGATTGGTTTAAGATTTTGATCTTTATAATCACCGCGATAATTTGATCTCCACCCCGGTTGTGATGAATTATTGCTGAGAACACAATCATCTTGCGAAAAGTTGATCTCTTCAGAGCCTGGACCCATTCCCGGACAATATTGAACTACTACATCGGTGTCTGAATTTGCACTGAGACTGCGAGAAAAGGATAATGCTGCATATTTTACCCTGCTGCATGGGCAGAAGAGAAAAGAAGACTTGTTAAACCGCAACCCCTTGCATGCGCCATTTTGTACGTGTGCATTTTATTTAGCAGTATATATTTTTTAAGCACAGGATATAGTTAATCAAACTAAAGTTCCTGAAATTTCTTATAAATTAAGTCATTAAGACAAAATATTTTTGTTAATATTTTATAGACATTTACTTTGTTGAAATGATTAGTTTTTCTAATAGCATTTTCGGGTGAAATAGATCCTAACCCGAATTGAATGCACTATTTATATCTAAAATGAGATGGATATAGAATTAGAGCATTGGAAAAAAAGAAGATCTCGTTTCAGGTGTAAGTAGTGCGCCCAACCCAGGTTAGGTTCCACTTCATCCGAAAACGCTATAAGATATTTTTTAATGAAAAGAATATTTAGTTTTACAATTAATTTGCATTGCATTTTATAAAAGCATGAATAATAGTTTTAGACGCAATCACTTTAGAATACGTTCAGAAATATACGTCAAAATATATATTATACTGTTTATACTATTTATTAATAAAAGAAGCATGACACTTGATGATATAGGCTATGTTTAAGGAGTATACTATTAACATCATTCTATTTTTATTGTTCATCAAACATAAATCGAAGATAGAATGACGCTGGTAGCACACTCTCCGAACACAATTATAGAACGTAGAATAATGATTAATAAATACCTATTATTACTGTTGATACTAACAGTTCTTGTTAATATATCCATACCTATAGTAAAATCGAGCTTTCCAGTTTTGGGATCAATTTGATTAATGAAACTATTTCTATGCCTTAAAAGGTAATTATGCAAATTACCAAAACGGCAAAATTCAACAATTACTAGCAGTTCACCTATTATAACATAAAAATTTTAATTACCAACGCTTCTTAAATAATTTCATCATCTTTAACTTAAAATTAATAACACAAATTTTTTAAAAATGCAATGTGTTGATAAAACATTCAATCACTTAGAAACATTTTTGTTTTTATATGATACATACGTTTGGAAATATTTTTAGTGCAAGCGCCAAGTAGATTGACAACATTTAGATGTTTACCAAGATGCACCATAATTTTTAATTCGCTCGCAAGTGCACGAACATAAGTTGGATCAGTGGTTCGACGAACCATTTTGACGGCAACAGTGGTGACAGTTTCATTTTCACATATTCCTTGCGCTTCCGCCTTCATCACTACTCCAAACGCACCACTGCCCAATTGTTTTCCTAAAATTAATTAATAATTAATTGAAATTAATTAATTCAATATATATGATAATTAATTGATTCAAAGTATGTACAAATCCTACTTCCATTAATTTTTCCCTCATTTTCTACAATTCAATTTTAATTTAATTAAATTTAAATTCCTTATAAAATATTTCTTCAACAGTATAATATTTCATAAATTACATTTTATACACATATATATATATATAT